CCTGGGGCCTGGGCCCCCTCCTCCCCTCCCCCCCCACCACCGCGCACCCACTATTCCCCCCACCCATGTCGGGACTGCTCCTTCCCCCACCGCCGCCGCATCATCCCGCATCAAGCCCTGCAGGTGGTGACAACGGAAGGGGGGAGGGGTGGGATGGGGCCAGAGCTGTGGCCTTGCCCGCCCCCACACGGCATCCCAACCCTGCTCGCCCCGCCCCCATGCCACTGCCACTGCCACCTCCGCTCCATCACTGCCCTCTGTTCCATCCGCTCCATTGCCCCTGCCTCTAGGGACCTGTTGTCGTCCACTGTCCCGTGTCCCCACCATCAAGATGGTGCTCCACCAGCCGCCAGCTCACTCCTGGGTTCAAATGGCTGTTTGCACTCCGATTCGCTGTTTGTCAGCCAATCCGAGTGTGAATAAAGCACTACGGACGGACAGACAGACAAACTTAGGCTTTTATAATATTAGAATAGAAATTAGGGGTGGAAGGGACCTCAGGAGGTCTTCTAGTCCAACCCCCTACTCAAGGCAGGACCATTACCAATGAATCATCCCAGAAAAGCTTTGTCTAGGCTGGGTTTTGAAAACCTCCAAGGAAGGAGCTTCTACCACCTCTCTGGGTAACCTGTCCCAGTGTTTTACTACTCTCTTAGCGAGAAAATTCTTCCTAATATCTAATCTAAACTTACCTTGCTGCAACTTGAGACCATTACTCCTTGTTCTGTCATTTGCCACCACTGAGAACAGTCTAGCCCCATTGTCTTTCGAACCCTGCTTCAGGTAGTTGAAGGCTGCTATTAAGTCCCTTCTAAGTCTCCTCTTTTCTAGACTAAATAAGCCCAGTTCCCTCAGCCTCTCCTCATAAGTCATGTGCCGCACCTCCTGAATCATTTTTGTTGCCCTCTGCTGGACTCTCCAATTTGTCGATATCCTTTCTGTAGTGGGAGGCCCAAAACTGAAAACACTACTCCAGATGTGGCCTCCCTAGTGCTGAATAGAAGGGAATAATCACTTCCCTTGACCTACTGACAACACACCTACCAATGCAGCCCAGTATGCCATTAGCCTTCTTGGCAACAAGGGCACACTGCTGGCTCATATTCAGCTTATTGTCTACTGTGACCCCCAGGTCCTTTTCTGCAGAGCTGCTGCCCAGCCAGCCAGCCCCCAGCCTGTACTGGTGCATGGGATTCTTCTGTCCTAAGTGCACGACTTTGCACTTGTCCTTGTTGAACCTCATGAGATTTCTTTTGACCCAATCCTCCAATTTGTCTAGGTCACTGAATCCTAGCCCTACCCTCCAGCATATCTACTATCCCCCCAGCTTGGTGTCATCTGCTAACTTGCTGAGGGTGCACTCTATGCCTTCTTCCAGGCCACTGATGAAGACATTGAACAAAACCGGCCCCAGGACTGAACCCTGGGGCACTCCACTTGATACCTCCTGCCAACTACACATCAAGCCATTGATTACTACCCTCTAAGTCTGATGCTCCAGCGTTTTCTATCCACTTTACAGTCCATTCACCCAGCCTGCAAGAATGTTATGGGAGACTGTATCAAAAGCCTTGCTAAAATCAAGATATATCACACCATCCACTGGTCTCCCTGCATCCATAGAGCCAGTCACCTGATCATAGATCAGCGTTGGGCAAAATATGGCCCGGGGGCCGGATGTGGCCCACCAGGCTATTCTATCCAGCCTTGTGGTCACTGCTGCCCAAGCTTCTATCCACTACTACATTCCCCACTAATTCATCCCTGTCTGTAGGCAGCAGGTCAAGAGCATGGCCACTCCAGCACTTGCACCAGGAAGCTGTCCCCAGTACTCTCCAAAAACTTCCTGAATTGCCTGTGCACTGCTGTATTGCCCTCCCAGCAGATATCAGTATGACTGAAGTCCCCCATGAGAACCAGGGCTTGTGAGTGGGAAACTTCCACTAGCTGTTCTAAGAAAGCCTTCTCCACCACTTCCTCCTCATCTAGTGGTCTATAGCAGACACCCATCACAACATCACCCTTGTTGCTCTCACCTCTGACCCTAACCCAGAGATTTTCAACAGGCCTATCTCCAGTTTCATACTGGAGCTCTGAGCAATTATATAGCTCTTTTACATAAAGTACAACTCCTCCTCCTCTTCTCCCTTGCCTGTCCTTCCTGAACAGTTTGTACCCATCCATAACAGTGCTCTAGTCATGCAAGCTATCCTACCAAGTCTCTGTTATTCCAATTATATCATAACACAACAAACCTAATTCTGAGCCTTGAATCTGTTCAAAAGTCTTTTTTCTCTCATGGGAATTTAGAAACAAAATGTTCTCTTTAAAATAATACTGCTACACAGGAATTACAGTTAATAAAGTGACAAGTTGCCAGGATAATTTAATTAAATACCTATACAAGATGTTCAAGGAGCAGCTGCTCAGCGGGAAACTGTCTCTCTGTGAACATATTTAAAAATATTTGAGGCTGATCAGCAAGCTATTGATGTGTACATGTGTTGTAATAAAGTCTTTCTGAAAGGATCATTGATTTATATAGTTGGGCTTACAACGAAAGGAGAAGATTTGTTTTGGGTCAGAGTGGAAGGGATGAACAAACGTGGATTTTTTTGTCCTTAAGAATGAAGGGTTGATCACACATGGACAGTTGGAAACATGACATACATAACTGCTGGTTTTCTTGCTTTTGAGGGCTTGTACTCTGATGTGTCAGATTAGCCAATTGTCCCAGCTTAATTACTGATGCATCAAGGTCCATCTAGAAGCCTTCTCATGTTCAGCTCTATAGGCCTCTGCCTGAATAGCACCAGTGCTAATACCAAGGGACTGTGTTTAATTTAGTTCTCACCTGATGCGGAACATGGTGAGCCAGTAATTCAAGGCATTGAACATTGCTCCAAGAATTCCACCTGCAAATACAAAAGGGAGACATCTGCAAAACCCCCACAGACAGATCTGAGCAGTCACAGCCATGATAGAGCTGGTTTGTTTAGTGACCACATGACAACACAGAGGAAGACAGAAACAACAAAAGCTACAAATGAAGTATGGGCTTTTAAATGTGTGCTGTGTCATGTGTGGTAGGTGGCATCTGAAGAGAAATGGTTTATTAGATTATTCTTTACATCTTATCTGTTCCAAACTTCCTTCTACAATTCATAGCCAGAAGCCCTCCTGCCGGTTCTAAACACCACACTTTCTTTTTCCCCTGGCTTTCTGGAAGCCCTTGTCACACTCCAAATACTACCAAGCAACACAGGAACACAGAATTGAAGAGTTTTCGCCTTTACCAAGGAAAGTTAAATTTGTCCTGATAAACTAGTTACAGCCCTTGGAAGCCTTAAACAACAGGCTCAACAAAAGTCTTCTACTTCAGTGTCTTTAATGGATTTCTCATTCTCCTCAGGAGATGTAATGAGGAAACTGTAAGATTCAGACAAGGAACAGGAGATGACCCAGACTAATTACATTGAAAGAGTAGAACCGTCTTACCAACCACTCCCATAACTATGAAGATTGGAATTTCCTGGATCGTGTATTCCATTTTCTGTAAACAAAGAAAAATAGGGTTTTGAGCTCCTTTGGCATGGCAGCAACATGAAAGCCAAGTCATCATCTCTGCTCAAAGAACACCAACCTTCACATCTGATGGCTGCAGAACCGTCACTGGAGAGCAAATGCTGCAGTACAGCTGCTTGCCCCAACACTCACATAACCTACATATTCCCTTGTGGAATCTGAGCCTGGAAGTAGCTGTAAAAGGACTCCTACTTGCTTGGTTGAAGAGGTTCACAATTGGAGGTGTTGATCTTGGAACCCCTGGTCTTTGCAGAACTCTGGCTGTCATGACACACCATGTAGTGAGCTTAGAGCTTTCCAGAAAGACAGAGCTACCCAGTACTCATCCCAGAACAAAACTTCTAGAGAAATGTTACAAATGGGGACAGCTAGCCCTGACTGTCTCAGTAACTTTTTAATGATGCCCAGAAGGGCAGACATGGGCATAGGGCATCCAACACCCTGGTAGCACCCCTCCAATGCCTCACCTCATTATCAAACCTGCCGAAGTTGATAAGCCCTGGGTTAGAAAGGTCCCAGGCATTCCCATGGTAAACGCTCAGGACTGAGTTCAGTGTGAACGTAGAGATCATGGAGGCAAAGAACTACGGAGAGAAGGAACAGAGTTTCATAGCATAAGACAGACCACAACTCTTCCATCTCCATTGGTTACCTGTCACCACACCCTCTACCTCTTCTTCACTGAGTAAGGGCTCCCTGCCACTTCAACCCACCCTCTGTGACACTCTTAGAGAGCTGTGCAGCAGAAGTCACGCTAGGGCTGAAGACAGCTAAGAAAAAATAGTTTTTGGGTATGCCTACCAAGGCACAGTGCCCAAATCCATGAATCTGTACACACCAAAAGTGCCATGGGGCAGGAGCCATGTCTTCCTTTGGAAATAGGGCAGAACCTCTTACCCATGCCAAAGATCCAGTGCTGCCTCCTACAACTCCAGGCAGTTCCTTGGGAAGGGAAACAGCATTTTCCCTTCTGATCTCAGGCTTTGTGCCAAGAAAGCTTTGCCCTAGATTCATCTGCCATTTCATTCTGAATGGAGCACCAGCCACAAACCCAATATCCAGGACACAGGGCAGAGCAGTTCTGCCCCTCCCCAGTCCAGGTAACCTGGGGGAAATGGGTAGCTGAAACTAAGGCTATGACACCAAAAGCCAGTTCAGAAGTTAGTGCTCAAGGAGGTGGTATTTAACAAGTGCTAAGTGCCCACAGTCCCATGGCACCAGGTTCTGCATAAGCATGCAAGCAGACCTTGCCTCTGCCTCCTCACTTAAGGTTTCTGACACTTACAATTCTCCATGTCAAGAACTGATTCCAGAAGGAAGCTCCTTCTTCCAAGCTGAAAAGAACTCCCCCTGGGAACACAAAACACACCACCACCATTAGAAAAAGCCTGCTCAGTGACCTACAACCTCCTTCTTCAAGGACTACCATGGACCAGACCTGTGGCACCAGTTGGAGCAACAGCCTTCACTTACAAGCTCTGCATATATGCAGTAAGCAAATCACATCTCACAAACCCAATTTGGGCATGCAGAGACAAGAACACAGCATGAAGACCTTTCGTGTCCTCTGTATGTATACTCTCAGCTATGGCTGAATGTGAAGGGAAGGGACTTGGTGGGGCGACAGGCCTCTTAGCCCTACTCAACCCAGGGCACATCACACTTTGCTCCACCCAAGTTGTTTGGGACTCTTTTTTCAAGGCTCAAATTGAAGTCAGTGGAGGAGATGACTTCCTGAATAGCACACATGTATTATGGCTGTATCTGTACTTCACAGGTCCCTGCCCTCCCACGTTATTTCTCAGGGGTTTACCTGAAAAATAAAAGAGGGAGTTGTCAGAGTATCAGACATGATCTCAGCAGAGACAAGCTGCCATGGTAGAGAACTTTGTATTTTGCCACCCAGAGGACAGGGAAAGTTAGAGCTTGGGGAAAGGGATTCAGTTCCAGCGCTATCCAAGCTCTGTAACAAGTACTGCAGGGAGAGATTTGAAAGTTGCAGTTTCAGAAGCTGCTCAACAGGAAACAAGCAGCACCCAAAACTGCTGGTGGGGGAAAGGGCTGCTGCCCAAGGTATATCAAGTGCAACCTACTTCCCCTTGCCCCCCAGCAGTCACAGGAAAGGCCTTAATTTTCTGACTGATCTTGTACTGATCACTGCAAGGCAGTCCCACGGCAGGGGGCAGGGGCGTAAAGTGGTGGGGAATGAATATGTCTCCAAGGGTTTTCCAGCCTGCAAGGGAAAAACCATGGTTTCCCATGTTTTTCTCCTTTAAAGAAGAATCCATTTTTAAAGTTTGTTGATCCACTTCTAAAATTTGTCCATGACCCTTTCATATATTCTTGCGACTCACTTTTGGGTCGTAACCCACAGTTTGAGAAACGCTGATCTAGGCGCTGAAATTGGCTATCCCTTGAAGAGGTAGTTAACAATAGCATAGTGATGCAGACATCCCCTGCAGTAATAGGGTCAGCAGGGAATAGGGGACACTCTGTTGTTTACCAGGGGTTACCAGAAATAATGGCCACAAACTGAAGGAGAACAGATTTAAATTGGACATAAGGAAGAAATTCTTTATGGTAAGGACTGCCAAAATATGTAATGGGCTTTCTACAGTTATGATGCTTTCCCCTACCCTGGAGGTGTTCAAGAGGAGATTAGATATGCATCTGGCTGGGGTTACTTAACCCCAGCGCTCTTTCCTGCCTGGAGCAGGCGGTTGGACCCAATAATCTACCAGGTCCTTTCCGACTCTAGAAATCTATGAAATCTATGGAAGGAGCTGGTCTGTGCATGAATATACAATAGCAGAAGAACCATGATGCTTTACCAACTGGGGCACCAAAAGCAGCCGAAACACCAGCAGCAGCTCCAGCCGAGACAAAATCCCTTTTCTCTGTGTCTCTGCGGAAGTATTCAAAGATCTGAAACACAACAAAGGGGACTTTACCTCTGCACAGGTCGCTTAAAAGTGATTCAAACACAAAGAACTTGCAACAGAGAAACTGTGTATTGGACCCAATGCACCCTTCCCACTGCCAGGATGGGGCTATCCCCCTCCAGTCCTCCTCTGTCACATATGGTCTGGCCACCTATTGTGAACCTCACAGCTAACAGAGTGGCTTTCCATCCTATTCAGGATACATACCACCTTTCACATAGACCAGATTCTCCTGGCCATATATTGTACTGGGAAGGTGACAGGCACCTGCTGTAACTTAGAAAAAAGCAACTCAAGGCGGTCCAAAACTTGGCTCCTCTTCTGGAGAAGGACTTGATAGCCACACCCCCTTCCCAGCATGCACATGCTCACCACCCTCTTTTCAGATGAACTGACTAACCTTGAAGTCACGCTTCAAAGATGTGGATCTTCCTTGTGAGATCCCAGCTGCAATGACTGCTCCAGAGTGAATCATTGGCCCTTCCTAAGAACAGAAAAGCAGACATTAGTCAAAAAGCCCATTTCTCCTTCAAGAACCTGGCTTGAGATGCTAATATGTGCAGGGAACTAGCTCCTACCAGACTTGGACCCCAAGAACTTTGGCCACACTGAGGATGAGAGTGGGAATATACTATTTCATTAGCCCTAGCTCCAGGAAAGGAAATACCCTCTCAGGAAATGCAAGCCTTATGGCAACCCCCAACTTCCTAATTCTACAAGTGGTTTCTGAGACACTTCCAGGTTCAGATGATCACAGACAAACCAGCATGCTGCCTGGAGCAGACAGCAAAAAGGTATGCTCACAAATGCAGCAGTTAACAGGGAACCCTTGGACTCCAGTACACAGATCTGCCATTTGTAATCACAGAAGTTACACATATGACTGCACCTTTGCCTGCTAAGGTCCCAATGGGGCTCTATGGCAGGGCACCTTCTGGTACAGCAGGCAGTAATTTACAGGGTTCATCTCCTATGTGGCCTCTTGTAAAAGCCCAGCAAGGCCATAGGCTGCTATGCCCCTGCCTTCAGCCTTGTTCAGCATAGACTCTGGAGTCAAGGAAAAAAATTCTCCCCTGAAAATAGGGAGCTGCCCCTAAACACATGGATATGTATTGACAGTGTAGTAATCTTGCGACACATGCAACAAGCAATACAGGAAGGGAGTGTGTAGCACTGGGTGGTCATTGCACACTGACAGTGAGCCAAGATCACCCTGTGAAGGGGGTTGATGAGAGTCCAGTTCTCTTCCTCAGCAGATTACCTTCCCCACAGCCAGGCCTCCAACCACTGAGAGAATCACTCCACAGACCTTAACCATCAGAGTCTGCAAAAAAAAAAGGGAAGTCCTTTGCTACCACAGGAATCTGCAAGTCACTGGCCATGCTAGAATGGGGGAGATGAGCAACAAAGACACTTTGATCTAGGGGGAGGAGGAAAAGCACCTGGTTGCCTCAGCCATTCCTCACCTTCCCAGAGATCACAAGCAACATGCAACAACCGAGGCAGGTACCCAGTACCTTTCTGGCTACAGGGGTGGAAATGAAGAATGTCAAAGACAAGCCCTTTGGCTCTTGACTGAGGGTCATTGCTCAGCCTGGAGCTGGCTTCTTAACCCCGTTCAGTACAAGTTGCCTTGCAACAGCCTCTCTGACAGCTGAAATATAAACCCTTGTAGCAGCAGCCAGTGGAAATCCTGGCATACAGGCCAGTAGCCCGCTATGTCCAGGGACCAGCAAGTGCCCAGAGCAGAAAACCCCAAACGCGTCAACGTCTTGCTGCCTACACAGAGGGTCCCATATACGCATACAGACAACACAATGTCAGTAAGACCCTCCTCATCCTGTGTGCCATTTAGAGCTCAGTGTTAGTGTGATCTCATGGGCCTGCTCACCTAAAAAACTGTTCCCCCACTGTCAAAGCATGCATCCTACCCCCTCACCACCTCTTCCCCTGGATAAAGAGGCACTGACACAATTCACCAGAGGGCCCAGAGAACTCTACTGTAATTGCATCTTTTTTAATCAGAGGCACCTGGAGGTAAAATGGTCCCCAGGGTCACTCAAAATGCAGGGGATATAATGCAACTGCTGGAACCTGAGGACTCAACAGCTACTGCTGTTTGTATGTGTTAAAAAAGAAAGAGTCCAGACCTATTCTAGCAGGACTGTGCCATGAATGTGCTCAGACCATGACAAGCATAAGGATGGGTGAATAGTGCCTAGCAGCCCTGGGACACCAGCACAAGAGTAGAAGGCTGTTGTGGAGGATGCCAGGAAGGCCCACCCAAATAACCATCTGCACTTACCCCCACCACACAGGGACAGGGAGATTCCCTAATTCAGGGCTGGACTGGGGAAGTGCAGGAGTACTCTTGTCCCTAAGCCAAACCCCAACCTCCTACCGCGTTTTACCTTGAGCCGGACAACATGGGGAATCTTCACACCATTAAGGTAACACTTGATCTGGGGAATCCCACTGCCAGCTGCTACAGGCTGCAAGCAAAAGGAAGAGCATCAGCATTCACCATGCCCTTCCCTCCAAGGAATCCTGCTCCAATAACCCCTTCTGCTGGACCCAGGATAGGCCCTAGTGTGGCACCTAGCACTGGATGCAGTACTCCAGCTGCAGGCTCACCAATGCCGAGTAAAACGGGAGAATAACTTCCTTAGTTTTGCTTGAATGCTGAAGTATATAGGCAATTGAGAAGTGCAGTGAGAGTCCAGAGCAAGTATAAATGAGCACAGGTTTAAGAAGTCAATGGAACAGCACCTATTTATATCAATTTAGGATTAGATTCAGAGTCCCTATTACTGTTGCTGCTCTGCAGAGCCTCCTCCAAGACACCTGGCTACCCATGCTTCCAACATCTGCTAGATTCCTCCTACCAGAAGTCTCAGCAGCCACCATTAATGGCTGTGTGCAGTTAGCAAAGTTAGGGCTGAGATAGAAAACAGCATCGTCCTACTTTAATACTGTCATCTAAGCATTACTTAATGAGAAAACCCTGTGTCACAACCCTGAGCCAGTACTGCCATGTGCTCAGCCACAGAGGAACTGGGAGCAGAAAGAGCAGAAATAAATCAATATCCATCATCTTCACATATTTTCCTACGAAAATACACCAGCTCCTCAAATCAGTATAATAATCCCTCAAAGAAATTTCATCAACTGGCAATTCCATAGTCAAGATAGTTCTGCATCAGTTACAGGAAGACTTGTAATTCCATTCAGCTGTTCAGATTGGAAAGCTTTTCAGGCCCAGTTATTTTGTGATGTTTCATGCTCCAGCAGGGGAAGCAGAACAGAGGAGACAGGGAGGTGCCAGAGCTGACAACAGCATCACAGGAAATGGTGACTTCTTATTCCTTGAGCAGAATTTGGAACAGAACATCAAACCTGGTGAATATGTACATTCAACCGCAGAGACAGCACACAGGGAACACAAAGAGCCACCTACATGCTGCAAGTTTTGAACTCTTACCTCTATGAAAGCAACAATGATGGAGCCAACCATCACCACGCTGGAGTTCAGTGTCGCCCAGAGTAACAGGGAAAAAGACAGCCCCCCCTTCTCAGTGAACTTGTCAATATCTGGGAGGGTCAGTTAAGGAAGTTCTGTCACATTTAAATGCATTGCTCAGGAAGTGTCAGGCAACAGGCAAAGTGTTAAAAGATTTCCACACTGCAGGAAATACGTTTTTACAAGGTTTAATCGAGTGAGCAGGCAACCCAGCTGGTGAGTTCTGTGTTACTTTCACTAGCGCCAAACATCAGTCCCTCCTTGTCTGGGGGCCTCTCCCCCAACTGAACAGCACACGACATCTCTTATGGTTCAGATGTTAAACTGTTGCAATAGAAAATGTTAAGACTTTAATTTCACATCAAAGCAGAATGACCACTTTGGCCAGGGCTGGGTGTTGGCTGCCCTGGGTGGGGCTGGGCCCCATGCAGAAGGCAATGGGAGCAGCCATGGGCTGGATCCAATCAATTGGCAGGCACCACCCCCATGTACTGGATCCAATCAGTTCGTAGGCTGAATCTGGCCCATGGGCCATATTTTACCCACCCCTGACCTACAGGCACCAGCCAAGACAGGGTGCCCCACGCTGAGCAGATGTAGCAAAGGGGCATCTCCTGTCCAAGGAGTATGAGATCCAAGCAGCCAGCACAGGCAGTGGGGTGTGTGCAGGCATTGGTAACTGAGATTAAATAACTCAACTGAAGGTGCAAGAGTTAAGTTAGACCCTTGCCTCTCTCTCCAACCCAGAGTTGAGCTAAACTCTACAGGCCCACTGCTCTTTGAGCTAGACAGAAAGGACAGAAAATAGCTAGGACATTCTGACAGTTTTTCATTAAAAGCAAAAAAATAACTGTATTTGGAAGTCCAAAGAGTTCCAGCTCCAGGCAGAAGTATATTTCAGCAAGTCTTGCCACAACTCCAGCTCATGCACAGGGGGGCTGGTCTGCAGGGCACAGGGCCACAGTCTTGACAGTCACCATACAAAACTGAACCATACTCTGTGCACAAATCACTTTAGCACCCAACAGCCACAACAGGGTTTTTGATACAGAACATCTGAACATGCCAAAAACAGGTAGACTGGCAGGTCTGAGGAGGACACTAATAAATTTGAACTTGCCTTGCTCCAACACTGGCCTTCAGCTTTCAGGTCAATTTCCCATTGCTCTCTTGGGCCCATCAGCCCTATAACACAAGGTCAGATGTCACAAGAGTTAACAGGAGCAGGAGCTGCTACCAGATGGAAGCCATGCTCCATGCAGTAAGGCCACTGAAAGGAAACTTCCTTCCCAGACCAGGATTACAAGGGAACAGAGTACTTAAGAGTGGCAAAGTGCATTCTCAGATCTCACCAGAGTTGCGTGCCTTATGGTAGAGGTGCTTTATTTTAAGCTTTACCTATGGTTGCTGCAGACCTACCAACTATTTCACTTTCTCAACTGCTTTGGCTGCTCTCCCAGCCCTTCACTCCTTCTCATGAAGATCCCTGCCCTGCCCCCTCCATAGCTGCCCCAGTACCACTCACTCTCCGAGTCCACAGGTGAAGCGCAGCTGGCAGGAGCCAGAAGGATACTGTCTTTCACCACTTTGTACTTCAGCCCAGCCAGCTTCTCCACCACAATATCGATGAAACAGGCGACAAGGCCAGTGAGAATCCCAATCATGGCACAGATGACCCAGCGTTTGATCTCCACCGTTTGAAATGCCTGCAAGAGACATCAGACTCCTAGTCCTTGGAATGCTCATGACAGAGTACCCACTAACCATCCAAATATCCACTGTGGGCAGGACATGTTAGAAATCCCCCAGACCTGGGGACTTCACACATACACTCAGTGGTATTCCCACAGAAATGGCTTGCCCACAGAGGAAGCTTCCTTTAGCGGAGGATGTACTTCTGATTCACATAACAGCATGCTGTTTCCTATTCCACTACTAACGCATTTAGCATTTTGTTTCCATTTCTAACACAACCAAGGAGTTAAGAGTCAGGCGTCCCATGAAAAGTATTTTCTATTGCACTGCCTGCACAGAGTTACTTGTGGGTGCAAGGACCAAGGCCTAACATGCCAGTATGTGCCCACATCACATTCTGCTTGGAATGGAACCTCCACACACTGTGGTACAGGCACAAAGAAATTCTTGTGCCTTTTGCAGCACCCTCACTCTCTGAAGTTTCCCCCTTTATTCCTGGGTGCTGCAGTAGGCCTACCAGCTTCTCACACAAGCTATGTCTGATGTACTTAGAGAACCTAGGCATTTTCCCCTCCAGCTGGCTATTTACAATTCCCCTCCTTGTTTCCTGCCAACGTATCCCCTGCCATGGCACGTGGTTCTTCCTACTGATCTCTCCTGGGCTTGGGATCATATCCAGATAACACTTGCTTTGGCCCCAATAAGCTCTGGAGGTGTTTAGATGCAAGAGGCCTTTTTCCTGACCTTCCCTGCCTTTTTTTAAAAAGTTGTGTTTTTGTGATGACTTACAGCAGCTTCTTCAGACAATCAACAGAGTTTAGTGTCATCACTTTGGAAGTTTGGGTTTTTAATTAGTTTTGTGTAAATACCCCCTTCTACGCTTAGGTTCACTGGGGCAGCTTGCTGCCGCCCCTCCTTGAGGGTGTTGTCATTTGTTTGTGTGTGTACCTCAGTAACAGACAGCTGAGGAACAAACTTCTGTCCAATGGTAGCACCACACAGAGGTTAACCTGCATGTGGGTTCAGGCGGTAATTTGTTTTCATAAGCAGTTGGTTAAGCTCTTGAGAAATTGTTTCTCTCTCCCTGTCCTGCAGTGGCATTTGACCAGATTGCATTGTGGGAGGTGGGATCAGATCCTCAGTCCAGGACTGTGCGCATATGGTTTACTCAGAACTAGGGTTCTGGCATGCTCACCGCATGGTTTATTCTCCTTTCCTCTTCCAAAAACAACTGATTTTCACTGTTGTCATAATCCAGGCTCTAGATTCAGGAGAACAGAGAGGTGGTTATTAGCCAACATGTGGAAGAAAAGGGAGCCTTCAGCTCTGCTCCACCCTCCCCAACACAACATACCTCATCCTGACTGTGCCACATACCCCCTATCATGTTATGGTCTAACTCCACTTCTCCACCTCTTGCCCTTTAGAATCTCACTGATTACTTTGGAAACAGGTATCTCGCTACCCTGTAAGGCAGTGGTCACCAACCTGGGGATCCTGATTGACAGGTAGATCCCAGAGCCTCTTTGGGCCAATCCTGGGCTGGTGGGACAGCTGGGCACACATGCATGCATGCACACACCCGCTGCCTTCACCTCCAGCAGGTCATTCTGTGGGGGTGGGAGCCAGATCAAGGCCCCCACAGTGGGTGACTGACCATGCAGCCCAGCCAGAAGCAGGGGAAAGCAAGTGGGGCCCCAGACCAGCTGAGTGGTGGGAGGATTGGAGCCTGCCAGGCACAGCTCAGCTCAGCAGCACAGACTCATGTGGGGGTGGCCCCAGCCCAGCCAGGATGGTCATCTGGCTGGGGTCATCTGACCCCAGATGTCTTTCCTGCTCATGCAGGGGGCTGGACCCGATGATCCTTCGGGGTCCCTTCCAGCCCTATGATTCTACGGCCTGGACACCAACAGCTTTCAGATGACTGAGAATAAGGTGTTTAAGTGACAGGTAACATGGTTACGCTGAACTGAATGCTCACCTCATATTTAAGAGAGAGGAGTTTCTCATTGTGAGGAATCTCATTGGGAAACTGGTGAGAGACCTCTGTTTCCTACAAGACAAAGGAGTGCACATTAGATTGACCAGGACATAATTCCCATAAAGCAGATATAGCTCCTCTTCTCTGGCTGCCAATGGATCACTAGGCTGGTCAGACTGCCCTCAGCTCTTGCTTAAAGCTGTTATTCCCCAGACATGCATTTGGATCACAATATTAAAACACGGCCTCTTCTCCTCAACCTTAGCTGTCACCTGTAGTAGGGTAGCTTTTCCAAATGGTCGTTCAGGGAGGTGTCAGCTGGCTGGTATTTTAAGCTGAAAACTATGACTAGAGACTAATCTCAAGTTGGCAGCCTGGATGATATTTGAAGCAGCCTCTCTACAGCTTTCCCTCAATTGGCTCTAGACAGGATCAAACCACAATAATTCCCTGAGCAGATATAGGCTCCTGGAAACGATACAAAGAACGTACTTTGGAAATGACCTAGTCCAGTTGGATTTCCAGCAGAAATCAAGAGGAGGCAGGAGCAGCAAAACAGTGAGGGCACCAAGATCTTTCTCTCCATGTAAACTGGAGGAATGTTTTCCCTGCTGCAGTCAGACACAACCCATGTGACAAGTCTATGTAACTGCAAGCTTTTGTTGATCACTGTACATCAAATAGAAGGGGACCCTCCACCTCCTGCACAAACCCGTTCTGAGACACCCATTAAATCAGAAGAGAAACAACAGTAAAACCCCTATGCTCACTGGTAGCAGGACAGTAACACAACAAGACCTACCAAAATATAACAAATGTCACCGAGTCCAGGGCTTCATTCTGTATATAACGTAGCCGGGAAAAATCTCCCTCCTTTGCATAAGGCTGCCTTTGCCTACCTAAATGTCACAGGCTGGGGCTAGAAAAATGCTGACTGTGGAGGCATGTTCAGATCTGCAAATGCACTGCCTTGTTAAGCAGGAGGTGAGAGCACAGCATTATCCTGGCTGCACATTCGCATGAACTGATGCTTGTGTGAGCTAGAGCCTGCAGCTAGATGATCTGGATCTGCGGGGGGGGGGGGGGGGG